TGGAATGAGTGATCCCTGACAGGATTGTGGATGTTTTTTAAAATCTATATCTTAAAAAAAAAAAAAAAAGTTACAGAGAACATTGAGATGATTATAGAAATCTGAATATCTGAATACAATTCTGTATATTATTAGCTACTAGTATTACACTGAAGTTAAATATTTTGTGTGTTACAATTGCTCACGGTTATGTAGAAGAATGGCATTCTTTCTAGAATATACATGCAGAAGTAAAACGTTGAGAAAATTTTTTAAATAAAAATTTAAATGAGAATGCAAGTCAAGCACTTACTTAGCATAATACTGGCAAAAGGTAAGCCACTATTATTGTTGTTGGTATTATCTTCCAAAAAAGATTGACAGATCTAAGAAAATGTGGACTGATATCACTAGAACTGGATCAGAAACAGGAAAAAGCATCCTCATTAAATGGGGCTGTGCTATAACAAACCTAGTACCATAAAAAATATTATAACATCCCTAATCGTGTAGGTTTAACCCTCTGTCGAGCAAAACTGATTTCACAGATTGTTTTGAATTTCTGTTGATGTTTATACTGAATTTATGTAATAAACATACCTTGTTTTTACTTTGTGGCACATTAAAATTTCATTGTGAATAAATAATAAGCACGCTTACACGTTATTTTCATTCATTTTCAATTTAAATAAATAAATGTCATATGCGCATCTAGTAGATGCATTGCACCTGACCGAGGGTTAATCCACTTTTGGGTCTTCTTTAAAAAGGTATGTAGTGAGCCGTTATATGCCAGTTCCTGGTCCAGGCTCTGAATCTATCAGCAGCAGATAAAAACATCTGCCTTTGTAACAACTATATCCTAGTGAAGCAAGACAGTTAATGAAGCGAGGCAGTCAATCACACAGTGTGTTAGAAGTCACAAGTGCCACGAAGTAAAAGAAATCCGAAAAGGAGAATAGGAAGTAGGGGAGGGCTCCAATTTAAAGGAGGGAGATCACGAGAGACCTCACCGAGGTGCCTTGGCAAAACGGGGACTCGCCTAACAGAAGAGCGTGGGGGCGCCTGGCGGGCAAGGTCAGGGCTCGGTGAGGGGGCAGTGCGGCGGGACGAAGCGACCGAGGAGGGAGTGGAGGATGGGGCTGGAGACGGAAGGAGGCGAGGGGCACACCGCACACCATCGATGCCACCACCGTAAGGGCTTTGACCTTTACCCCAAGGGGCGTGGGGAGCCACCGTGGGTTCGTGAGCAAGAGGGACATGATCCCAACTATCAGGCACAGCAGGCTCACTCTGCTCCCCACCCGACTCCCTGCTCCCAAGGCCACCGTCTCTGCCCCGGTGGCGTAACCTTCCAGTTGAAATGGACACTTAACCATTTCTTAATGAAAACAGCGTGCATGTGTGCGGGCGGGGAGGCGGGAGTGTGCTCAGATGGGGGACAGCTCTGGCACGGACCACCTTGTCTCGTACAACTGCCCAGTGTGCTGGGAGAGAGCCCACCCCGCAGAGGGGGGCGCGCACAACAGCGAGGTCACACTCAACGCGCAGGCACACGCCTCCCCGCAGCCGCGCTGCACACACCGGCGCGCGGGGCCGAGCGCGCCGCTGCGAGGCGAGGACTCCCGGGTCGTCGGGGCCAGCTCGCACTCACCCTCAGGTTCCCCTTGGTCCGCTGCTTGTTCTTCCCGCCCATGGTCGCAGCCCCAGCCGAACTCTCTGCCCGCAGTCCCAGTTGACACCGCGGGCCACAACTTCCGGCCCTCCTCGCCGGAAGTGGGCTCCCTGGAACAATTTCCCCCGGCCCTCCCCCTTCCGCCACCCACCCCGCCTACCTGCCGCCCCACGTCTGCTCCCGCCTCATAACGCGTCCTTAACTATTGGCCAGCGTAGACGTCACAATTAGAGCCACGCCTGAGTGACATCATCGCTGTCCAATAGGAAACCAAGCACCGGATTCACAGCGCCAAATCCTTCCTTCCTCGCTTTCCTGGAGCGAGGTTTGTCCCCATTTCTGCGGGTAGGAGATTGGCACGTGTCGTTTTCACACAAGAGTTGCATTGTGATGATGTGGCAGTGACTGGAGTGAGATAGGAAAATGTTAGACCTTTTAAAATGCAATCAGCATCATCTGGTCGGTTACAAGCGCAGGCTGTCAGGCCCACTTCAGGACTGTTAAATCAGATTCTGCATTTTTAACACGAATCCCTGGCCTTGTTAAAATTTGAGAAGTAGTGCTTTAGGCAATATTCTCTCTAAATCCTCTTCTCCCTCCTTCCCCCCCCCCATATTATTTATGTGTTCCCGTGCAGTTTTTAGGAAAAAGGGTAATGTGGCGGTCTTAAAATTTGAAACATACAGTTCTCGTACTTATTTTCTTATTTCTCAGAATCACACTAGAGTAACATAAGCACATGTTGCTGGTTATTGTCTTTCATGTCCACACACCCTTTTATAGTCAACTCCGTGATACTGAGGTGCTGCAAACTTTCTCCTTTATTCAATTGACTTCCTGTTTGATTCCATAAACAGGGGTGACTAGTCCTGCTAAAAGTAATACGTGCATCATCATCTGGCCTCTTTGGTGGGGGATGTCATCCCAATCTGGAAGTAACTGGGGTAGTCAGAAACTCTAGACTAACAGCTGGTTGTGTGGTGGCAACAGAGGAAGCCCTGGCATTTCCAGGGCAACTTACATGCAATGGGGACGTGGGCAGCAGGGTGGGAATCTGAGGAGGTACATAAGATTCCGATCCAGTATAGTCACTGCTGTAAATACCATTCTGATTCTTATTTGTGTTCAACTGCCTTCACATTTAAGACGTATCCACATTGCCTTGTTTGTTCTACTTTACTGAATAACACGTATATACTGTACTTACTGATTCATTTAGTGATAGGCACACTGGTTGCCTCCAACTTTTTACTAAGATAAGCAATGCATTGTGTCTCTCCCAACCCCCAATCCCATTCCTCTAACCAAATCTGACTCTTCAAGGAATACCCAACACATAGTACCAACTTATGTGCTAACAATTAGTAATTACTTAATAAGCACTTTTCGAACTGATTTATGGAGGGCCTCAAAAACTAGGTAGTGTGTTTATTGACTCGAGGTCAATTTGCTGAAACTAAATTTACAGAAAGCCATTTCCAGAATATAAAAAAAAAAGTCAAAATCCAATTTGCCAAAAATGAATTCTCTAAATTACAAATTGGATGAATTGTTGAGGACTGTTAAAAAGTTTGAGCTGTGCTCATACCTCAGCCTTCTGTGAGGGGAGCCCAGGGGCAGGGGCAGAACATACGTATATAAAAATAGAGATGAACCATAAGCTCCATTTAAGAAAGACTTCACCTATTTGTATCAACTGGCTGGAGTAGATGCAAAACTAAATCTTTGAAAAAATCTATTTGGGGGCTACGCCCACCCACAACTAAGATTGAACTCGGCACCTTGAGCTGAGCGGCCACAAACTGCCCACAGGCGGCCGGATGGCAACTGGACTTGGAGCTGAGCTAGCTGCGCCCTCCACTAAGACTGAAGGACAGGCAACTTGTCTGGTCCCCTTCCCCAATTTCCCAACACTGTTCCCCTTCCACAAATCCCCAATAAAATCTTAAAAAAAAAATCTATCTGGCAAACTAGCTTTCACCAGCTAGTAACAGGGACAGAAATATACATAAAACTTGTTTTATTTCATAATAAGCTGTCTAGAGATAGGCAGGGGCTGGTGTTGGATCAGAAACTCAACATGGGGATTGGCATCTCTGTGGTTCTCTTGGCCCGTCCTTCCCTCATGGTTGAAAGGACTGCTGCAGCTCCAGCCATCTCCTTGGTATTATGGCACAAAATGGGGAGGAGAGGTGCCCTAGCTGCAACTATCATTTTAATCAGGAAACCAAATGTTTTCCAAACATCCCCTAGCCACAGCAGTGTCCTAAAGCCACCTTAGTTGCAAGAGAGACTGGGAAAATGAGTATTTAGCTTTTCCAGGTTCTTCAGTGAAGGCAGGTAAAGGCAGAGGGGAGTGGGAATGGATGACAAGTTGTACCACCACCACTATCTAACTCAAGTCAAATTAATTTCTCTTTCAAAATGGGTGGTTTATGTCAAGAAATTTCTGGGATGGCCAAGTGGCGCGTTGGTTAAGAACTGGCTTGGGATGCCGGAGGGCCCTGGTTCAGATCCCACATATGAGGGCCAGTGACACTGCCCTCTACAGCTAAGATGCTGAACAACAGCTCGACCTGCAGCTGGGCTGCCGTGGGTCACCAGCGACGGCGTGGCCTGCAGTCCCCTGCTGCAGTGGGTTGCCATAAGCTACCGTGTGTAGCTGACAGCCAGCGTGAGCAGCAAGCAGCCACCATGAGCGGCCGTCTAGAAGCCGGCAACTGATCTGCCTTGCCCGGGAAGAGCGCAATGATGGTGCCAACTTGGGCCAGTGAAGCAACGTCCTCCACAACTAGACTGAAGAACAAAACAACAGCAACTTGTCTGTTCCCCTTCCCCCGATTTCCCAGTAAAATCTTTAAAAAAATAAAGAAATTTCTGGGCCGGCCGAGTGGCGCGATGGTGAAGGACTCGCTTGGGATGCCAGAGGGCCCCGGTTCGGATCCCACATATGAGGGCCAGTGACACTGCCCTCTACAGCTAAGATGCTGAGCAACAGCTCGACCTGGAGCTGGGCTGCCGGGAGTCACCGGCGACGGCATGGGCTGCAGCCCCTGTGGCAGTGGGTTGCCATGGGCTACCGTGTGTAGCCAGCAGCCAGCGTGAGCGGCCAGCAGCCGCAGTGAGCGGTCGTCCAGAGGCCGGCGACTGATCTGCCTCGCCAGAGAAGAGCGCGATGATGGTGCCAACTTGGGCCAATGAGGCGACATCCTCCACAACTAGATTGAGGAACGAAACCACAGCAACTTGTCTGTTCCCCTTCCCCCAGTTCCCCAGCACTGTTCCTATCCCCCTAATTCACCAATAAAAATTAAAAAAAATCTTTAAAAAAAAAGAAATTTCTGTCAACAATTTTAAGATTATAATTTAAAATTCAGTCCTGTTTTCAATAATGACATATTTTTAACAGATGCATTTCAGCCATACTACTTTTTCTCCACCCGTCACCCCCCAAACCCCCACCCCAACATTCTAGAATGGGACTAAAGTAAAATTACTTAATCTTTCAAGAAAGAGTGAGGGGGAAAAAAATCAAAGGCCCACAGTGACAAAATACTTTCAACTACTCCGCTGTTCAGTCATTGTCCTTCCACACCAAAGAGCATCTGGAAAACATCCCCACATCCCTTGGCATTTAAAAACTGATACAGCTGACCAAAGTCCATGTGGTTTCCTCTGGCTCCATTAACACTGAACACTTTTTCTTCAAAAGCTGGAAATTTTCTTTGTTTTTCCATTTCATCATTTGCACTATCAAAAGGAATATCTTCTCGATGGCGAATCAAAATTCTCTTCCAGTTTAATTTTCTGAGTCTGAAAAAAAATTTTTCAAAGTAGAAATTTTGAAACTATTATGCATTCTAGAACACTGAAAATAGAGGTTACAAAACTGGTTTATTCATGCCTTTTCCTTGAAGTGAAGAAATCTACTTTTATCTCACAGGGATTCATTTTAATTCAATACAATTCTGGTCATAATCCCATCCCCAAACTCATGCATTATCATTGCCTCCTATCAGCTTTTTCAAAATGTGGAAACTGCTGAATCTCAAACTCCCAAAGGGACTTCTCAAAAATTCATTTAGGATATCAGTAGAGAAGTGAGATTAGAAATTCCCTTGTTTCACAGGGTATACACAGCTTACAGCATCACTGATGAGGGAAAAATTCGTTTCATGGAAATGGAGGGGCTTGATGCAACATCTATTTACAGCACGTCTCCTGTGTGCGCTGTCAGGTGAGGCAAGTGATGCTGACCATATGTGGGTTCTATTCTACCCAATGACTTGACACTGAATCCTCACAAGATACAACCCCAGGGAGATACTATTTGTACAGCTCTAGTATCTGGTTTAGCACTAAAACTATTGACACAGCATACAAAATTCATGAAAGCAAACCTTGACCAGAATTCTTCACAAGTACTTTGTGGACCTTCCACGCAAACGACGCCAGGTTTCCCGGGCATGCTGAACCCAGATAGGGAAAGCTCCTTCGCCCACTCTAGAATATCCTTTCTTTTGCATTTGTTGTAGATGTGATGGCTGTAGATCCAGAGTCTCGTGAGAATGAGATCGGCTGGCTGGGCTGTACTTCCTGGAGCGGGGGAAGGGGTGGTGTCTCTGCTGACATAACCGGCGGCATGTTCTCTAACCCAGTCTGTGGCGTTCAATACACAGACATCTCCGAGACAATTCTTTTGCAGGTATGTGGTCAGATCTGTGTTCAGCTGAGTCTGCTGGGATCTACTTAATAATACTGATCTGGTGGAAAAGATACAGGATAAAAAAATTCAATCAGTTTTCTTGGAATGGAAAACAAACTCAATTGCTTTTTTCTCAGATAAATTTTGACCTCTAAAGTTAGCCAATTTCTGTAACATACCTGACAGTAATTTCAGGCAGAACTGCAGGATATTTAAAGGGAAGAATACAGGCCAGAGAAAACATCCCCTGATCAAAAAAGAAGAAAAATGCCCTAAGCGCTGTTTTAAATCTTGACAGGTTTCAATTCTTCCAAAAGCAAAATTTAATTACCATTGCTTCCTCAGATATGTCCAGGTTCATATTGATAGTAAAGTAAACTTTTGAAGATCGCCCCTCCATTGTCCTCTTTTCAATACAATCTTTCAGTTCTGCTAAAGCCAGCTGGTCATTCACTATGAGCTCATTCTCACCGGGGAACATACTGGCTAGCAGGTCTAATTCTGAGAGCTGGGCCTCAGCCTGTTCAATCTGAAGCATTTTTGGATATCTGTAAATTTCTAAGGAGGTAAGAATAAGAGAGATAGTTTACATATGCTGGGAGAACTCAATATATTAATATGGGTACTTATTGAAAATGTATTTGATTTCCTTATAAAATGTGAAATTTAATCAGAGTATTTTTCCCCATTATTGTACTTTGTAATGTGTTGTAATATGTATGTAATAGATGTTATATGTTAAAGATCCAAAATGTGAGACAATCCAGTGAGAGCAATAAAACTCTAATAACCAGGTACCAAATTCCTATCTCTCTCGATAGTCGATCTGGCATCTTGACCTACCACAATGAGCAAATTCATTGAAGAAGTCTAATTATGTAGTCAAAAGCCATATCAGTGATATCACCAGGAGAGGGGCTTTGACTACTTACCTTGGAAACCTAGAATTAACAGAATAAGAGAGCTTAGTTATATGGAAGGTTAATTTTTCCCCCTAACTTAATATTAAGCTTATTAGTTTTTTAAAAAGCAGAAGAATGTGAAGAGAAAAAATAAAGGCTGCTAATTATCCCACAGCTCAAGTAACATTGTTTTAAAAGGTACAAGGTTAGAAAATTCAAACAGGAGAAGAAAATTTTAAAATAAAGATATAGTTTCCTGTGGATACTCTCTTCCCCTACCTTTCTAAGTCACCAACCCAAGGCAAAGAGTTTTTCATGTTTCATAATCAAATGTAAGCATTATGCATAAATATATATGGAAAATATATGCTGGTATAATGTGTAAATATATGTAGACAGTGAGATATGTAAACATAATGAAAATGTATTCAAAGGGGATCATAGATACATATCTTTTTTTCCCCACTCTAACTCTTTTTCCCTCCGACTATACTTTGGAGACGTATTCACTGTCAGCACATAGCGATCTATCTCCTCTTTCTGGTGGTTGGCTGTCACACTTATCATGTAGATTTCTCATAATTTATTTCATTCTTTACCTTGGACATTTGGGTTGCTTCCATATTTTTGCTATTTGAACAATTCTGTAATAGATGTTCTTTTTATATACACAGTTTGGTGAATACTGTATAGTCAAGAATAAGTCTGCAGAGGTGGCTTGTTAGAACCACAGGCACAACATTTTAAATTTTGGTAGATGCTGCCAAGTGCCTTCCAGAAAGTTGCCATATAGAAGTTCAAAATTTGTACATACCGTATTTGCCGGCGTATAAGACGATTTTTTGGCCCTGAAAAATATGCCTCCAAGTGGGGGGTCGTCTTATACGCCAGGTACACTTCAGANTAAGACGATTTTTTGGCCCTGAAAAATATGCCTCCAAGTGGGGGGTCGTCTTATACGCCAGGTACACTTCAGATAGACTGCCCATATAACAAACTCTGTATTTTGAGTAGAAATGTTAGGGGGTCGTCTTATACGCCCAGTCGTCTTATGTGCTGGCAAATACGGTAGTTCCCTCCTTTAAAAAAAAAATCTTAATACCTAGTCTTTTAATGGTGTTTTGTGTCTATGTGTGCCATTCAAACAGGGTTTTAGGGACATATGGAACTATAATGAAATATCTGACATTCATGTCATCAGAGTCCCAGAGGAGAAGAGAAAGAAGACAGAGCTGAAAAAGTACTTGAAAAAATAATGGCTGAAAACTTCCCAAATTTGTCAAAAAGCATAAACAGATTCAAGAAGCTGAACATATCTCAAACAGGATGAATCCAAAGAAATCCATATCAAGACACATCATAGTCAAACTTCTGTGATAACTAAAGACAAAGAAAAAATTGAGCAAGTGAGAAATGAACCTTACTTATAAGGGAAAACAATTCAAATACGAGGATATTTCTCATCAGAAACTACGGAGACCAGAGGAAGAGGCATAATATTTTTCAAGTGCTGAAAGTAAAGAACTATTGACCCAGAATACTATATTCAGTGAAAATATCCTTCAGGAATGAAGGAAAAATTAAGACATTCTAAGATAAATGAAACAACAGTTAACAGTTGGTAAAATGTGGGTAGAAAGAAGGGAAGCACTTTTACTGTTCAATTTGTATGCTTCTATGTCATTTGAAGTTTTGTGATTAGCCTGCAGTACTTCTAAATTCAGCACAAAACAGATGGGTTACGTTTCTGAAAAGAAAAAGTAGAGCTCAATCCCACTGCTATAAAAGAAAATATGGCTTACCGTCCCAAAGAGAATTTACTCTGTGAAATCAAACACCACTATTTAGGTTAATGGTGTCCTCATGAATTCTGTCTCATCTTTGGTAAGGTTTATCGATCAGCTACTATATGTGGAGCTTCATCCATCAATCCTTATTTAGTTTGAGGATCAGGGCATGTATCTAATAAGATCTAGAACAATGAAGACAAAAAGACTAGGTGTTAAATGCCCAGTACAGGTGTTATCACAGGGATTAGTTTACGGCATAACCAATGAAATGGGCCAGTAGGTAAGATCTGACAGAGGTGGCAGGATCTGAGTTGAGCCCTGAAGTAAGACAAGCGGAGTAGGAGGCATAGTAGGGAGAGAAAAGAAAGGTCTGTGAGGCAGGAGAGCACAGAAAAATAGCATCGGCCTGAACATGTCCCTTCCTCACTACCAAGGCCTAGTTCAGGGGCTCATGAGTTGGACCATTTTCTCTTGTGCTAGTTACTTTGTTTGTCCCCTAAACCCATTCTTGGCCCTTCTTTTACCTGCGCTGGATTCCTGACAGCTGATCTCCATGGCCTATAGCACCTGACTCATCTGCCTTTCTTGTGGTTGGGTTCAGCCAATGCTCTGGCAGGAAGCGGGAGGATGGGAGAAGCAAGCATCCACAGTATTTCTTCACTACTCTTCTCTGCTTTGGTGGGATTCTGAAATGGCTGTGACCCCTAAAGACCACGTCTTCCGCAGGCATTCCTTCTTCCTCAGCTCCAGCAGACCTTGCAGGCCTAGGGGTAGTCATAGTTGCTTTAAACCTGGCTATACCTCTGTAAATAACCCCTTTATTAAACAGACTCTTCAAAGTTTCAAAGTTGAGTGTGTGTGTGTGTGTGTTTCCTTCCAGAACCTTGCCTCCTCCTACCTGGACTCTGCCTCTAATGTTTGTCCATCAACTCACACGCTACCTCGTCATTATACTGACTGTATGCAGTAGCTAGTAGATGTACACTGACACCAGCAAGAGCGCCGCAACTATCTATCTAGAGCGCGGCAACTATCTATCTATTAGAAAAAAGTTCACATACTCTGTGACTGGGCAACAGTGTTGCAATCTGAGAGAAAGGAATGGTGATGCTAGATTCCCACAGGGGAAGGCAAGCTAGCTGACGACCCTGACAGCTACCCAGTGGAGTGCGTTTACCCCCATTCACCATCTGGCTGTTATAGTTTCACAGACTCAGAAGCACAAAATGCCAGCACACTGAGAGTAGACCCACTTCCCGGAAGCTGCCATGGATGACCCATTATCAAGCCCTCTAGGAACATGTCTCCCTCTTTAGTCAAGTTTTCTGTTTCATCCAATATGGTTGGGTCATTTCTTTATTATCTGAAAATGGTATTTGGTCAACAATTTAGCTAGTTCACTGTATGGTCCTTTTAAAGAGCAGAAGAAGTTCTACTGAAAAAGAAATGTGAATTACTCACAGGTGACAGATCATAGCTGCAGTGGACCCTGTCAAAAACTCGTCAAAGCCTATGGGAATGACGAAATGCGGTGGGGTGTTGAATTCATTAGGATAAACTGGACACGAATCAGGAAAATATGAGGCACTCTCACACACACTGAGCTGTCTCTACCAATCAGAGTCTAAACCAATGCCAACGCCACATCATCCCTAATGCCCGTGCGTTTTCAACTGATGTCCTTAAAACACTTTACCAGGGTGTCAATGCCACACTGGGGAAAAAAATTACACAAAACATTTTGTGTTTAAATAAGTTCTTGAAATGCTCATGAAACAAAGTTCAACAGGTTTCTTTAAGGTGACCATGGGTCATCCTATTATTCTGACTGATTTAGTATTTATCCTAGATTTAACTTATTGTCCCCATTTGGACAATAAATTATACAGGCACACTTTTTGTGGGTGGCTTCTCGGTCTTTATTGTTAGATCTCAATATACATCATGAATTTCTAAGAGGAGGGTTTAGTATGCGTAGCATCCCAAACCTATCTGACCCGGGAACATATTTTTCCCCCCGGACCTAATGATAGTAGCTCTTCTCTCCACAGGACAGATCAGGAATCCCTGTTTTGTCATCCAGCCACCCCAATTTAAGTAGTTTACATATTACCAAGGCTACCTATCATCTTCATTTTGAATCCTTTTCAAATAACTGTTAGAGCTATCCACTTCTCCCTCCTTTAAACACAATGTTTACTAGTGATTGCATGTCTACTATTTTCACTTGGCAAGTTAAGCATCAGCTGTGTTATTGAAAAAAAAATCTTCACCTGGCCAGCCGAGTGGCTCAGTTGGTTAAGAGCTTGCTCAAGAGTGAGAGCTCTGAGCAACAGGGTCACTGGTTCGATTCCCACATGGGCCAGTGAGCTGCACCTGAGCTGAGCTGCCAACAGGTGGCAGGATGGCTCAGCTGGGGAGAGCATGTGCTCCTAACAATAAGGTTGCCTGTTGGAGATGGTGGGCTATGTCCACCCACAACTAAAAGACTGAACTTGGCAACTTGAGCTGAGCGGTGCAACTGGACTTGGAGCTGAGCTAGCTGCACCCTCCACAACTAAGACTGAAGGACAACTTGGCTGTTCCCCTTCCCCAATTCCCCAACACTGTTCCCCTACCCCAAGTCCCCAATAAAATCTTTAAACAAAAATCTTCATAAATATTTAAAATTCCTGGATTTATTAAAATTTCAAAAATATCTTTTCTATTCTGTTTTGGAGTTGAGGAATCTAAGAAACAACTCATTGGATGGTTATTAAAGGAAATGAATTTACTTTTTTTTTTAAAATTGAGCAGTTTAAGTATGTACTCTGTTGCCAGACTGCCAAAGTGCCACTTAGCAATGGTGTGACCTTAGGCATACGGCTTAATTTCTCTGTGCCTCAGTCTTGCAATCTTTAAAATGGGAATGACAGGGTTGCTGTAAGGATTAAATGAGGATATATGGAAAGTGCATAAAACACTGCTTGGCAACAGAGAAAGTGCTATAAAAGTGCTTACTATTATTATTATTGGTCATTCATTAAGCCAATGTTTCTTGAGTACCTACTGTGTGTCAAGCATTGTCCTTGGCACTAAGATTATAACAATGAACAAAAGTACAAAAAAAAACCTCTGCTGTCATAGAGATTTAGTCTAGTGGAGGGAGACCATGACAACACAAAACAAATCTGTCCAGTGGATAACATTTATGGAGAAGACTGAGGAAGTTAAAGGGGATAGGGAGCAAGTGTGTGTGAAGGAGTAATTCAACTTTACATAGGGTGATCAAGGAAGGCCTATCCAGTAGGTCGACTGTAAGGAAGAGACTTGAAGGCACTGAACAAGAAAGCATGTGTTTATCTGGACAATGAGTTTCCACGCAAAAGGAACAGCTCATTCAAAGGCCCTGGGGCAAGAGGATGCTAGACCAGGTGCTGGTGCACACTAAGCCCAGGACAGGGTTTTAGGAGAGAGGTCAGAGAGGAAATGTGCAGCAGTTTATACAGGAACTCATAGGGCATTGCCAGGACTTTGGATTTTATCCTGATATGGAAGGCCACTGGCGGGCACTGACTTAGTTATGAAGAGCCCCACACCTGCTGCTGGAACAGTGCAGGTGAACAAGGATGAAGGCAGGAAGACTAAGTAGGTACTACAGTGCCTCCAGCAGAGATGACGGTGACTGGTGGTGGAGATGGTGAACAGCGTTCACATTCCAGACATATAGGAATTGTAGAGCCAACAGGATTTCTGATGAATTACATGTGATATGTAAGAATGAGTCCAAGGCTTTTTGAATCTGGAAGAATAGATTTGTCATTTATTTATATGGTGAAGGTGGCAGAAACCTGAAGCTTGGTTTTAGACATACTAATGCAGTTCCTATAAAGACACCTATTGAGCAGAGAAACCATGGGGTTTATGAGCGATCCCGATGGAGGTGTAATTTGGGAAGTAATCAACATTTACTTAAAGGCATGTCTGTTTAGTCACCTAGGCAGTTGGGAGAAGACATCATAGAGTTTGGAGATCTGGAAGATGAAATGGAACAAGCAGAGATGTTTGGGACCAAGCGACCATGGGGATGGGGGGATTGGAGGGGGGTGACAACTACGGGAGTATTGTCACAAGTAAACCATTTATTTGTCAAATTATTATTAAGATTTTATTGGAGAATTGGAGGAGGGGACCAGACAAGTTTCTGTCCTTTTGGTCTTCAGTCTAGTTGTGGAGGACGTTGCTTCACTGGCCCATGTTGGTATTATCATCGCGCACTTCCTGGGTGAGGCAGTTGCTCGCCAGCGGCTCACAAAAGCTCACGCCAGCTGCCAGCCAGCCACTCCCAGCAGCCCAGCTCCAGGTTGAGCTGTTGTTCACCATCTTAGCTGTAGAGGGCGCAGCATCACTGGCCCTCATGTGGGATCCGAACTGGGGTCCTGCTGCTCAGAGCTGGCGTCCCAAGCCAACTCTTAACTAACACACCACTCGGTAGGTCCTGTCAAATTATTTTTGTAGATGAGATCTTAGTCTAAGAAAACCCCTTTAAAAGAATTTTCTGACTCAAGATTTCCATGAATACTGTAAGAACAGAGTCAAAGGAGTTTCCTAAGCGGAATCGTTCTTTCTCTTTCCTCGACGGGCACAGGAGCGTTCGCACCTAACAACTGACTAGGTAGGCCGTGGAGGCGGAAAGGTGGTGGTGGGGATGGTGGAGGGGGGAATTGGGGGGGAACGGAATGCCTAAGCCCGTTCTAACCAATGAACGGTGTGCAGCGCCTGGGAAGACGGTGCCACTGCGACGCCAAGTTCCCAGAGCGAGATCAGGACTGCTGGCCGCGACCCTCCGTCTCTCCCACTGGTGGGCAGAAGACTCACCTCGAGCCATGGACCCCCTCGGTGCTGAAACCCCGGGTTTCCTGGCTGCGCGGACAGTTCAATTCTCATCCCCAGGGAGCCTCAGAATGTTAGTGGAGGAGCCGAGGCATCAAGACCGGTCCAGCCAGGCGGCCTGGGGCAGCGAGACTGCGCCTTCCCGACTGGGCGCATGCGCGCTGGCCCCGGAAACGCGGCCACGGCTGGTAGCCGGCGCTTGCGGCGGCCGAGTGGAATTCTTGAATTCCACCACGTCCTGGCTCAAGGAATGATCCTTTAGAGGGAAGCTCCTCAAATTCGAACTTGGCAGAGGAAACATTTGGGGATGTTGGTATAGCGCAGACCTGCATTCCGCAGGTAGCGGTGGGATCCTATATTCTGCATTCCTAAGATCTCCCACGCGGTAGCGATGCTCACTGTCCTGAACGACACTGAGTAACAAGGCGTTTCGGGGAGGGGGATGAGCGTGGATGGTGGCTGTGGCGGCCTTAGGAAGGACCCTGGGCATGCACAGAAATGTATCCCGGCTAATAAAAGGACAGTTCCAAGGCGACTCAACCCGAGAGTAATCAGAAATGTTTTCCTTCCCAATCTAAATATACGCAACGCGCTTTTTTCTTTGTGTTACATATTCATTTTAGAAATCTTCAATAAGATACTTTGTAAACACTGATATTCATTGCTGTTGGTTATTGTTGCTAATCTCCACGTTTATTTTGTTTGTTTTTTTACAAAAATAAGATTCATACATAGGTCTTTACAGCTGCATCTTCTACTTGGTGTTTTGCAGGTATTTTTCAATATCATGAAATAATTGCTTTTTTTTACTCCAACTTTTATGAAAATTTTCAAGCATCCAGCAAAGTTGAGAGAATTTTACTGTGAAGCAATTCTCAAGAGAAGGGGAGTGATTTTGCTCCCCGGGGACATTTAGTAATGTCTGAGACATTTTGGGTTGCCACAACCGGAGGGGTGCTTCTGGCATCTAACGGGATGCTGCTCAACTTCCTACAACGCACAGGATGTCCCCCTACAACAAGGAATCCGCTGGTCCAAAATGTCCATAGTACTCAGGTTAAGAAACAGACTGAAACAATATCGTAACATTTTCCTCTACCAGTTTTGTCATGCATCTATACAGATATTAGTATACTTCTAAGTACTTCGGCATGAATAACATTAGTATTCAAATTTAGTTTCTTTTGAGGTAAAAATGAAATGCATCTTAAATGTGTATTTGCTGAGTTTTGACACATGCACACACCTGTGTAACTTAAACCCTGTTAAGATAATAGAATATTACCAGAACCCCAGAAAGTGCCTTCGGGCTCCTTCCCAGTCAGTCCCTACCCAACCCCCAAGAGGCAACCACTGTTTTTTTCCCCACAGTGATTAGATTTTACTGTTCTCCAATTTCATATGAATGGAATTATAAAGTAGAGATTCATCCATGTCCTTGTGTGTATAAGTAGTTTTTATTGCTTGGTAGTAATTCCATTGTGGGACTATACCACAGTTTTCCCATTCTTTTGATGAAAATGTGGCTACTTCTAGTTTTTTGGCTATTCTGAGTAAGGCTGGTATGAACCTTCTTGTACAGCATTTCATTTCTAATGACTGTTTCTTCAATAAGTATCCACTAAGCACTTACTATGTTCCAAACACTTCTCAATACGAGATATAGCAATGAACAAGACAAAGATGTCCCATCTCTCAAGGAGCTTACATTTGCACTTTGCTGTGTATGCAGGAGGTGGGGGCAGGAGGTAAATATGTAGGTAAATATTAAAGAAAATTACAGATCGTGGTAATTGTTAGGCAGAGAAGCAACATGAGGTGAGTGATTGGGTAGCTGTGTTATTTAGGGTGCCCAGCCCATTTTTCTGTGAGAAAGTGACTTTCAAGGTGCGAACATCATTACAAGAAGATACCAACGAGGGAAGATTAAGGGGAACAGCATTCCAGGCTGAGGATAAGGCTGTGTTCTAGCATAGAAACCAACCAACCAAAAATGCCTGTGTGCTGAGTAAAGACAGCTTAAAAAGAATTGTATCAGCAAAAAGGACAAGAGAGCCGTTTTCCTTCAAAATTTAGCCATCATTACTCTGGCCAATTCAACAGGTTAGGATGCCACGTTCTTAACCTACTTTTATCCGATTACTAATAAGGATGGACATGTCTTCCTATCTTTTATGACCAATTGCTCTTTTATTGTGAATTATCTTGTTTCTATCCCTTGCTTATTTTTCTGTTGGCACCTGCATCTTTTTCCTCCTAGCAACTATTGTGTTTTCTGTATCAACTCCGGGGCAGCGAGGTCTATGTTTAATTCACTTCACAGAGGGTTGGGTACACACATATTCTGAACGAAGAAACAGTAAGAAACTGTCAGCAAGGTTAGTTCAGGACAATTTACATAATTAATTTTAGAAGTTGGTTGGCTAGACTTAGGGGGACTGCATGAAATCTAGCTGTTCCCCGCTTATCCAGACTTCAGATGTAATGTCAGTACTGTAACCACCCAGGAGACTCCAAACCTCTGACCACCCACCACCAGGTACCCATGCTTCAGAAGCATTCACATCCCAGCGAGGAAAACTCACTGGCAACCAAACAGGTGCCGCTGCGCCTATACTTCCGCCGCGCGCCGCGCGCAGGCGCCGATTAACTAGCGTCAGCGCCGCTGGACCCTGGGGCCAAAGCCACTTCCCATAGTGCCCCGTACCGGAAGTTCTTGCCTTCTAGTGGTCACTCTAGCTTTGGCTCTGTCGCTTTTCATTCGTCACCAGGAGGGAGACGGAGCTGGCTGCCCAGCCCAAAGGCCCATTAGGGGGATGCAGTTATGGGCGCTGTCGCCGTGGGTGAGTTCTGGTCCCAATGACTCGCAGTCATCGCTCGCGTGACTTCCTCTGCTCGGAGAGCCCGAATTTCCTGCTGTGAAGTCGTTCTCTTGTCGCAGGCCCCTCTTCTTCAAGCACGTTACCCATCCTCGGCCCGGCACCGCGTTGTCATTGGCTTTATGTCCTGTCATTTCCAGGAGCTGGCCAATGAGTTGCCGGTGGTGGCGCCTTTCTCGACCTGGTGGACCCCGAGGTTCCCCCATGGGTGCGGAGCAGTTGGACTGAGAGGGAGGTGTGTCGCGCTCCGCGCCACTTGGGGCACCCTGCGGGTTGGAGCTGGGGCTGCTGCCGCGGCCCAGTGATGGGTCGTGGGAAAAGCAGGACCTAACCGATTCAGTGCCCCTCGGATAGGATAGATCTGCGCAGAACTTAAAAGCCCTATTTAAGACCTGCTGGCAAAGTTTTCCAGACGCTTCTATTTTTAGTGGAACCGAGCAGGCACGGGAAGACTGGGAGGGCATAGATGGTAGGGAACTGAGCCAATATGAGAACCGGCAAGACCAGCTTTGGTTGGAATTTTCTGTGGAGTCCTGCAAAGAGTCATTTGGCTAAGAAGCTAAGTCTCATCTGAAGAGTCGCCTGAAAAACTTAATACGATGCATTGATGTTTTATAACTGATGGTACCCACAGCTCTCTCTTCTCGTGACTCATTAGACGCCCTTTATACTTGTCAACAATTTATTGGAACTCTTTCCACAGCATTAAAGTGACTCTCCTACTGTCCTCTGCCTGCAGCAGTTACAGTTCGTCTTTCAAGTTTCCCTTTGGAGTCTGGGCTACTGCCGTCCTCAAACGAGATTCGCTAGTGCCGTCTTCACTGCTGCAGACTTCATCCTTTCCCCTTTTCTTTTTCGCGGGAACTTGGTTGCTTGGTTCTTATTGTACATACCTTTGCGTCTTGTAATCATCCTTTTGCCTCAGGTACTATTCTTTTTCTCTATTTCCACCAAGAAGTATTTCTTGAGGACCTACTAGGTACTAACACTATGTTAGGTGCTATAGCCAATTCAGAAGTAATGCCTGAAACCATTTCTTTCTCCTAGAACTGTAGATTCCAATAGAGAAATAACATATGTCCAGATTTACAATGTCCCAGCTAGAGATCAGAGGCATAGAGGTGGGGCCAAGGTGTTTGGGAATGGAGGATACCAAAGAAACTGACTTGATTGGCAAGGAAAGGCTGGTGGCATTTGGGGCGGGGGGCGGGGAGACCTGCCCTTTTAGTTCCATCTCTGACCCCCCCGGTGAGCTTTCTCATTTTGTTTTTAAGTTTCCTCCTTTATTGAAATGCTCCATTTAAAGGTTTGTTGTAAAAGCAAATGAGATAATGTATATGAAAGGGTTTTGGAGAGCAAAAGCATCATATAATTAAACTTTAGTGGTTCTTTTTGAGAAGTAATAAGAGTCAGAGTTGCCAGAGCATTGGGACAGTTTATTAAGGACCATGAGTGCAAGGCTGAGGAGTATGGACTGGAAAACTTAAGTACTTTCAATCAAGAGAGTGAAGTGATGGAAATGGCGTTATTGGAGGGTATATCTAGTGCTAGAACGCAGCACAGATTAGAGGGAGTTTGATTGGAAGGAAGAACTTGGGTGCTTCCCTCCCCCCCCCTAAGATCCACAATCCTGGGTAAGATGAATTAAGTTAAATGTTATCTTTAGGATGAGAAAAAGCACATAAAATATACTTCATTTTATATATACTTTGTATTCTTTTGTTGTTCATTTACTTTGTAAACATGGAAACTTGTTACATTTTAGATTGTCTTTGGAAAGGTTAACAGTTACCTGATGTGACACTTATTTTTCATGCTAACCTTTTTGAATTACTTTTAATTACACTAACCCATTAAGAGCTAAAAGAGGAATACTCCTAAGACTCTAAGACAGAGCAGGATGACAGCTAAGTTTCAGAATTAATTGGGACGTTTTTCAAAACATATGTTCCAAGTCTTACTTTCCATTATATAATAGAATTTTAATAAGCAGGTCAACTAACTATTATAGACATTTAAGTGACTTTGACACTAAGTTATTGTAGTGTATGTTAAATACAGTTTTTCAAAATCATTGCTATTATTTAAAACTAGGTAGATCTGTATGTACTTTCAGCGCTGTTCACATTTGCTGATTTTAAATTGTTGACTAAAGAGGTGAAGCTTTGATGTGCAGCTAGATTTGTCATAGTATTCCCAACTGATTTTGACAATAATATAATGTAAATAGTTGAGAATGCAGTTATAATAGATTCTCAGTTAATGTCCACAGGGAATCCTGGTGTGGGAAATGCAGAACAGTGTGTCACTTTTTGTATGTGGCCTTGAAATTATTTTGAAAATTTTTCTAATTCCTGTTAGGAGTTTGTTTTCAGAATTTTAAATTTTTCTTAGCGAAATTATCAATTTAATTTGCATACACTGCAGAACTAAGAAAGGTAGTTTAGAAAGAAAGGAAGTTATCTGAGGTTTAAACATGCCACCAGCATTCCATACATTTATGTAGTGAGTTGAATTCCAGATAGTGTAAAGTGCTGAGACTTTTCAGATCTGTATAAGAATACCTAGGTTCTTTCCTGACCTTTACATTAATTGACAACCTCTTAACTTTACTAAAAATCAGTTTCCTGAGCTATGAAACTCAGGAGTAATACTATCTATTCTATCTACTTCAGAGTTTTTATTGAAAACCAGGTGATGTATGTGAATGGTCTTTATAAATTATAAAGTATGATTGGCATGCAAAATATTATATGTGGCTGAGTTATATTAGAGAAACATAAAACCTTTTTTTTTTTTTGTCAAGCTAACTTTATTTTGTTTTCTAGATTGTTATTTTGTGTCAGTAAGTAATCCATAAAGTGCCAACATGGGAAAGAAACGGACAAAGGGAAAAACTGTTCCAATTGATGATTCTTCTGAATCTTTAGGTATATTTCACTAATTGAACCTTTAAAGCAATGTTTATATACCTAAATGGACAGAGTTTAATGTGTAAAACTGGGATCAAAGTGTCTATTATTGTTCTGTAATTTGCATTTCAACTTAATGTTTATATCTACATGTCATTTAATAGTCGTCAGCATTTTAATGGCATGATTCCTCCATTGATGTAAAAGACCATGGATGCATATTTCATGACTTATTTAAATAATAAATCTATTGTTATAAATGTAGGTAACCTTTAACTTTTCAGTTTTATGAATGGAGTGATAGTAAACATTTTTACAGCTAAATCTCTGCGCATATCCATTTATCTTCTTAGTACAGATCCTAAAAATAGAATTGTTAAATAGTATAAATATTTTCAAGGCTCTTTTGGTTCTATTGCCAAATTGCCTTCCAGAAATGTTATAGTAGTTTTTCATATGATCTCATTTGCATTTATATTTTCTTGGTGCAAGTTCACTGGACATAAAGCTCATTGTGCCGCCTTGACAAGTTTCTTAACCTCCAGGGTCCCAGAAAGAACTGAAGCCCTTCAGAGTGGCTTCCAAAGCACTTTACTGATCTGGTCCCAAAGCCTTTTCAGTCTCAGGTCCAGCTATTTGTTTTTACACATGTGTGCCTGCCATTCTGAGGAGAGAGCCTGCGCTTTTACATTTTATACCTATATGCCTTTGTTCCTGGGATATGTCCTTTTCAGATTGTTTTTACTCCTTGAGTAAAAAACCCTTTAAATTGTGAGCTTTGAAGTGAAAAAGACTAGAGTCCAAATTCTGGCTTAGGCACTTAGTCGTTTTGTGACTTTGGGTACTAAAACTTAGTTTTTTCATCTGTCATTGAGGATGGTAATGACTTCCTTCTAGGATGGTTGTGAGGATTAAGTGAGATAATGTATGTAAAACATTTAGCACACTTTCAGGCTCATGGTAAGTACTTACTATCAGAAATTTTTATTACTGTTAATATCGTCTAAGACTGTACAGATGTTCAGCTTTTGTTGACTGTACCATCTGTAGTTGTGAAGTTTTCATTGACCTTCACCTTCTCTTGTACTGCTCTAAGGTGTTTTGGAGATTCTTATGCATTTATTTATTTATCTGCCTCGCCTGCCAGTATGTGAGCTACTCTAAGAGGAGCTATGTAGCTTGGTCACTTTTAGGTTCCTTGGCATCTACCACAGTCCCAGGCCTTCGGTAGTTGTATTGCTGACTGAATGAAAGACCTTCTCTACAAACTTGTTAAAATAAAGAGAATAATAAATATGATGAAAGACCTTAATTAAAGAGTTAAATTGAAGTGAATTTGCGGTGGTGATTATACCTAGGATGTCAAAAAAAAGCAAAATTCCAAATTTGTATAAAATCTCTTTCTCAACTCATCATCTTATTATATATTCAAGTATGAAGCAAAAATTTAAGTATTCAGATTAACAATTTGTGTATAGAGTAAATTCATTCTTGAAGTTCAAATGAAGAACAAGTTTTGAGGTTATCTGAAGGAAGCCATATTTTACCTCATGAACTCCTTTATAATTTGTTTTAATAGAACCTATGTGCAGACACCTTAGAAAAGGATTGGAACAAAGTAATTTGAAAAAGGCTTTAGTGAATGTGGAATGGAATATTTGCCAAGATTGTAAGACGGACAATAAAGTGAAAGATAAATCTGAAGATGAGACGGAAGAAAACCCCTCAGTTTGGCTATGTCTTAAATGTGGCCATCAGGTATGCTTAGATTTTTACCTATACGGGATTGTATACAACTCCTTGAACTAGTTTTAGAAGGCATCACCTACGTGCAGTATGGGTGAGTAGGATGCCAGCTGGCGTAGGTCCTGTTCCGTGGGGAACAGACTCTGAGACTCAGGTTTGTGAGAGTTAGGTGGTTTACAGGGGCGTGTTCTCACTGTGTTTTTGCCAGGAAAACTGGGAGGGAAGCAGGACTAGGCAGAGGGCGCAGCTGAACAACAAGGCAGTACTCCTGGGCCTCAGCTGGGAGCACAGTGAACTCTGGCCTCCGGAGTGTCCTGAATTGAGGCAAGGGGCCAGGCCTGTGTGTAGACCAGTCACTGGATCTGGGCTGCCCATGGGGAGTGGGGTGGGCCACTGACCTTGGCCCAAGCAGCTCCCTTCCACTGACCATAATTGCTGGGGATGGACAGACTGAACTGTGAGCTGTCAGGAGGCCACATTCTTAGCAGCTGCGGGAGAGAGTACCTTGGACTTAGGGGTGGGAGGGAACTGGGTGGCAGAACAGCCCACAGGTATGTCATGGTGCTAAAGGTCAGGGCCTCTTTGTCATCCTTAGTGGTGGCAAATTAGGTTTATATGTTAGAAACTGGGCCATGAGCCAGTCCTGTCATGAAGCTTGAAGATGAGGCAGAGCCATTGTTTTTTCATTTTCTTTTCAATTGAAATTTAATTGAGATAATTATAGATTTATATGCAGTATAAGAAATAATACAGAGATATCGCTGTACACTTTGCCCGCTTTCTCCCAGTGGTAATATTTTATTAAACTATAGTATATCATCACAGCCAGTATATTAACATTGATACAATCTATCAATCTTCATCAGATCTCCCAAGTTTTACTTTTCTTCGATTGTGTGTGGATGTGTGTTGTGTGTGTGCGTGCGTGCGTGTGTATATGTGTGTATTAAGTTCTGTACAGTTTTGTCACCTCTGTATTCACCATAGTCGAGATACAAATGAATTTCAACATGACGTGGATCTCTCATGTTACGCTTTTATGATCACACCCACTTCCCTACTGCCATCCCCCAGCCCCTAGCAACCACAGCTCTGTTCTCTGTTTCTAAAATGCTGTTATTTAAAATATGTTGTATAAATGGAACCATACGGAGTACAGCCTTTTGGGATTGGTTTTTTTTCACTTAGCATAATCACCAAAGATTTATCCAAGTTGTGTGTGTCAGTAGTTCATTCGTTTTTTATTGCTGAGTAGTGTTCCTTGGTATAGATGTATCACTATCTATTTACCTTTTGCAGGACATCTGGGCTGGTCCATTTTTTGGCAATTATGAATTAAGCTTCTATGAACATTGGTTCTCAAGTTTTTGAATTTCAGATTTCATTTCTCTGGGAAAAATACGTCCAAGTATGCAATTGCTGGGTCATATGACAATTAAATGTTTAATTTTTAAAGAAACTGCCAAACTGTTTTCCAGAATGGCTGTACCATTTTATATTCTGACCAGCAATGTATGAGTGACCCACTTTCTATGCACCCTTGCCAGCATTTAGTATTGCCACAGTTGTTTATTTCAGCCATTCTGATATGTGAGTAGTGATATCATGGCCAGGCAATTAAATTTATATGTTAGCAAAGAACATATTTATTTATTTGTATTTGAAAGGTTTTCGTTGAACCTCTTAAATACACCTGGTGGGCATGAATTTATTTTGCTATTTCAAATTTTCCAGAATAGATTTCCTATTATAAATTTTATTTATTTTGCTACCTTTTTAATTCCTAGCATCAATATTAACTGTTAACTTTTATTCCACTATAGTTATCTTTTGCACTGTTAGCAAGTTATCCTCAATGGTTGTCTTAAGACAGCTCATCTCATTCTGTTTCAAATGGTCTCAGATGGTGTCATAATTTTCAAAATATCAAATTTAATTCATTAATTTTAGAATCAAATGTTGAGTGGGATAAATTAAATCAGTATATTTGATAGCATAGTTAAGGGATTAGGAGCCACTGATAAATATTTCCCCTCCAAAGTATATATTTAGCTACAATAGAAACAGGACCACTTATTGTACTATATATAGCCGAAGGTAGTTGGTGGCCTGGTTCAGATAGATACACAGTGAAGATATATTTCTTAGCAGTGATTTAACCATCTGGAGGCAGAAAATCTGATCATGTTCTTTTATGAATAAGCCTATACATCTTGTAGGTAAAAATGTCTCATTTACTTGTTCAATTAATACTTACTGCCCTCCATCCATTTGCTAGATTTTTTTGATAATAGATTCATTTGTTTTTGTTGTGCCTTCGGGATTTATAGTCCAAGGGAAAACAATATAAACATTAACAACTTTAACGTAAGGAAGAAAATAAGGAATGCCACCAGGAATTTATACCAGGTTTGACAGGAAGAACATGTTTTCTCATCTGGGAGGATAAGCGGAGTTCTTCTGAGAGGACGTAGCCTTTGAGCAGCATCCTGAAGACTGGTTGGGATTTGCTCAGTGGCAGTAATGGTAAAGGATCCCAAGACAAACAGAATAACGGGGACAAAACTATTGTGAAGGTGTTGAGTGTGTGTTTAGCCAGTAGATGGTATGTGAATAGGTGATTTATGGGAGTTAACCCTATAAAAGTAGATTGGGGTCAGAGGGTATTTGGTTTCTTGATTAGGAGTTTAAGAGCAATTTATAATTTTTGAACTGAGTATAGGAACAGCGCTTTGTTTTAGGAACATTAAACTGAAAAAATATGCATGTGAAGAAAGGGGTTGAAGTTAGGAAAATATTTAGGAAGTTGATAAGGAGTCCAAACTAGACCTTGTGAATGACTGAATTAGCGTTGTTTAGTTGGGGCTGGAAAGGACAGGTGGGAGACAAGAGCACTTTTAGCACATGGTTTTCTAAGGATCTTCTTCCTTAGGTGGCCTCAGTTCCTATTCGTATTTAAGTTTTAACAAAATCTAGACTCTTTAGAGTCTAACGTTTATTTTCAAAATTGTGAAAATGGCAGAATTTCTTGAGCCATTTCTTGTTTATTAGAGATTCCGAGTTCTTTCCTCTTGGTGAATGTTTGTGGCTCTGAGATTGATGATTATGCTTCTCTAGGGCTGCGGTAGAGCTTCCCAGGAGCAGCACGCTCTGAAGCACTATTTGACACCAAGATCTGAACCTCACTGTCTGGTTCTTAGTTTGGACACCTGGAGTGTATGGTGAGTTTCAACTCCTGTGCCCACTGACTGAAAATCATTTGAAATATTGGAGAGTGGAGGTATTTGAAATGTGTAAGGAGCAAGAAAGTTAGAAGTTTTGTATCTGTTTAAATACCATTACTTTCAGAAGGCCAGGGAATGTGGTGTTATGAGAAGCTTTTGCTTAGTATTGTACAAACACAACTGGCATGTGGAAAACTTAGGTATCTTCACCTTTTTTTCTTGCTTGTGACTCTATAAAGCGTATGGTAGGTTTTTACAATAGTTTAAAAGTTGGGACACTAAGAACAAATTCCAGATGAACTGAGAATATAGTAAAATTTTGGCAATAAATTTGCATATAAATAAATGTCAGGCTGGTATGTGTATTTCTTGTATTTTAACACCATTAACACAAATTTTCACATCTTTGAAAACCACTTACATAATAGGTTTCTCTGAACATTATCTGTCAGTTATAAAATGTGTTAATTTTGAAGATGTAGAGTATGTATTTTGAAATATGTATAGAATAAAACTTTTGACTTTAATGTTATAAATAGCCATTTCAGTATAATGTTTGTTTGGGGTCTTTTCACAGTATTTATGTGTAGCCGTAATTTGAGCTAATCTTATTAATAGTAAACCAGAGTTAATATGGAAAATAAAGTTTTATTTTCAGTTTTTCTAGTAGAATAATTTAATGGTTACACACTTTGGGTTCCAGGAATTATAATTTGTCCCCTTTTTTGATTGTCACTTTGTCACTTTTCTTCTCTGTGGTCTTTTGGGACACAGGTGTTACCTATGTGATGATGAGGTCCAGTATTGTAGTTCCAACAGACTGGGTCAGGTGGTTGATTATATCAGAAAACAAGCTGGTATTACAACTCCAAAATCAGGTAAAAAACATCAATTGTTTCCTGATATATACTGTAATGTTAATTTATATATATCTGCTGATATTTAGATCAATTTACTGTATTGCCCAGCATTACATGTAGCTGAATAACATTAATTATGGTTGATTTCAAATTATGAAACTGTTTTTGGTTAAGAATGTAAAACAGTGAGAATGCAGGTAATTCTAAGGTATTAGAATTAGAAGGGAATATGAAAAATTATCTAGTCAGATGTGATGAAGAGTCTGGACTAAGTAACGGCAGGGCGGTAACATCCTGTTCCCATACCCTGGCACAGGGGCTTAAGGTGGACCTGCTTTATACTGAATTTACTTTTGTTGCTTTTGTTTGGATGATATGAAAGTAAAGTACGCGTAACTCCTTCAAAAGGCCAGATACTTCTCAGGTATTTTTCATGCATAATTAAATTAACTGGGTCACATGCCTCATCAGCTTTAAGCTTGTTTAGACTTTCATTCTCACAGAAGTGTCTTTGCCAGAACTGTTTGTTCTTAACCTCAGGATTTGTTTTTGACCCACAGAATTCATTAAAAAATTTATTTCATGTCCATATTCTTTCCTTGATTACTTTATATTCCAATTTCACAAGGTAAGGTGTGCTCATTTGTAAAAAAAAACAAAACAAACAAAAAAACTTATGCATTAAAAAAGGGATTTATGCTAAAGCATATCCTGCTTGGTTTCTTTGTCAAACGAATGCCTAAATCAGTTCCGAATATTTTTTATTTATTGGCTATTCTCTCTAGATGGCAATTTACTTATATTTATTAGAAAACATTTACAAATCAAACAGGTGGCAAATAATATTAGGTAAAATTCACAAATTCTAGTACTTTGTCCCAAGTATAACTTTGCATTTGGTATGGCTGTATTACATGTTTTGCTAAATCTTTTCTTCTTCCTTTTTTCCCCCAAAGCAGCGAAAGATAATGGCAACGTTGAACTTGAAAATAAAAAATTAGAGAAGGAGAGTAAAAATGAACAAGAGAGAGAAAAAAAGGAAAACATGGCTAAAGAAAATCCTCCCTCAAATTCTACTTCCCAAATAACTGTGAAAGGACTTAGTAATTTGGGAAATACATGTTTCTTCAATGCAGTTATGCAGGTGCCAGTGTTAATGTTTTCCCCCTTTAAAAAGTCTAGTGTTTTCCTAATATTATAGGATGTTTTTGCATATTTGTTACTTACAGTATTGAGTTTTTTTCCCTGTAAGTAATTTATTTCTGTGTTTTCAAAGGAAACTTAAGGAAATGTTTACATTGCATGTCAGTAAAACACTGTGCTGTGCACTAGGGTACAATAGGGTTCAAAACAAAATGACCCCTGTCCTCATAGAATGTGCTCTGGGGTGGGCGAAGCACAGGATAACCTCTTAAGGAAACACTTACCTATCTAGTTACAGGTGGTGTGGTGGTGCAAGGACCCTGCTGGTGGTGGTAGGGTAGCTACTTTGTGGGGTGCGGGGAGAATGCCCTTCTGAGAGATGAATAAGCTCGGAGCTAAAGTATTTATGACCAAGCAGAGTGGGGACTACAGCATGCCATTACTTTTTGTTTCCCAAGATATATACAATGAAGATTGCAGTGTTGATAGTGATTTTCAGCTTTGATAGACTAGACACTTAAAAAATATCTGAATGAACTGATTTACCTTTAGGTAATTTTCCTCTTCTTTTCTATCCTACATTCCAGAATTTGTCACAAACACCAGTGCTTAGAGAACTACTAAAAGAAGTAAAAATGTCTGGAACAATTGTAAAAATTGAACCACCTGATTTGGCACTAACAGTATGTATTTTAAAACTATAATCTGTAATTTTCCTCTCTGAATATTAAGGAAAATATTAATTTTCCTCTTGACATTTTACATTATTTTAAAGCATTGATGCTCATTTTCATCTTTTTTGTTTGTTTTAGGCTACCAAGTTAAAGATTTTCAGACCAGTAGAAATGATAAGGGGCCCTTACCTTTATCTGCTGTGTGTAGGCCATGTTCTGCTGTGCCCTAGGGCTTCCTTCTTGTGAATGTTGTTGATGTTTGTGATGCCCTAGGCATGCATCATTATTTTTAACATCTTTCCAGGAGACTTAAATGCCAAATTAATTTTATCCATTTTTGTTATTAACAGTTTGCTTTGGCTCTTTTTACTTCTTAGGTAGTAAGTTCTAATAATCCAAAATTAAAATAGTAAAACCGAATTCTTCATAAAACAGTCCATGACCAGAAACTTTTATATCTTTTGACACACATTTTGAACTTTTAAGTGGACATCTCTGTCAGGAACATTGGCAGTATAGATTGACTAATTACATTTTGCTAAAATAAACGATTCCAAAATTGGACTGAAGAAGATTTATTTTTTTCATATTCAGGAACCCTTAGAAATAAACCTCGAGCCTCCAGGCCCTCTTACTTTAGCCATGAGCCAGTTTCTTAATGAGATGCAAGAGACCAAAAAGGGAATCGTGACACCTAGAGAACTCTTTTCTCAGGTCTGTAAAAAGTGAGTATCCGTTTTGATTGTGCTTTCAGTGCATCAGTAAGATGCTGAGAAATTACTTGAACAAAACTAATAGCATTGGAGTCAACCCAGGGCATATACTAAAGCATTGCTTATTTTATTTGGATTAAAAAACTATACTTTATGTGAAAATGAAATCTGCCAACGGTGTTTTTGGACTAAACAGAAATCCTGAGAGGACACTCCAGGGTTTGGGATGTGATCCTAAGATTTTGTAAAAATAGTTTCATATTGTAATCACCTCATCATTGCTTTTCTTTTTTTCTTTTTTCTTTTTATCTGTAGAGCAGCGCGGTTCAAAGGCTACCAGCAGCAAGACAGCCAGGAGCTGCTCCGTTATTTATTGGATGGGATGAGAGCAGAAGAACACCAAGTTAGCATATTTTGACCAGTTTATTTTATAATTTCATCTTCACTAGCTTGTCTGTCGTTTGATAGCTTAAGGGTTATTAAAGCAACGGCAACTAGTTATTGAGGCCATTGTGTTATATCTAAGATTCTTTTCTACACCAGCTTCTTCAACCAGTATGTTAATCATTAGAATGAATGACAAGAATTATTTAGAAACGATTTTCCTTTTCCTGATGCTTCACATTGCCAGCATCATTGTCGAAGGATTCAGTTGTATAGGCCTCTACCAGGAGGGCCACCCAGTACTGGGAAATGTCTCTCCCAAAACAGGTCCCAGCTGGAGCGCATCCTTACTCTTACTCTGAGGGTGATTCAGCACAGCTGTTTGAATCTAGGAAGTACAGCAGGTTCTTGAATAATGAATAACGTCATTTCATTTAATGTTTCGTTATAATGTTGATGAGATGCTATAGGAACTTAACTCTTGTTTATATCAATTAGCCTAAGGCAAAATTGGTTTCTTTAAACGTTATTTTGCTTAAAGTCACAGAACCTATTGTCAATGTTAGGTGGGGACTTACAGTACATTCGTTTTGTAAGAGTCAGGGAACATTTATTGCATTTTTAAATGTTTGTTAATTGCCAGGATATAAAGTAATGTATTTTGGGATATGAATATAATTAATAATAGTAATAATATAGTGATTACTAATACTTATTTTGTTCTTATTTCATGTCAAGCACTGTTCTTAGTATTTTATATGAATTACCTTACTCAGTCCTCCATGGTAGGACAAGTGTTCTACAAGGTAGATGTTATTATCATTTTCTCCTTCCATAGATTTCTGAAGCTAGAATGTAGAAAAGTTTAGTACCTGGTTCAAGGTCACCCACTAAAGAAGGAGCTGGGCTTTAAGTGCTGGAGTCTATCCCTGCAGCTCTCATTGAACCACTCTGCTTCTTGGACACGGTATTTCAGTGGTCTTTCCAAAGGAGATAGGCATGTTCTGCAAAGCTTTGGTTTGAATAGGTTAAAATCTTGAAGTGATAGGACAATGCCTTTATTCACAGGGTTAGTGATTGTTTTATAATTTTTTTTAAGCTCCTTGAATTAATTTTTGAAAATGCGATTTTAGAATTATTAATTTCTATTCAGTAAGTTTGCGGAGCTAATTCTTGATCACTTTCTTGACTTGAATACATATTTTCTAAAGAAAATAACTAAAATTTTAAATTTAATAGTATACATATATCCATTTTATTACTTTTAGAGAGTGAGTAAAGGAATTCTTAAAGCATTTGGTAATTCTACTGAAAAATTGGATGAAGAACTAAAAAATAAAGTTAAAGGTAATGTCTGACTTTTTGAATTAAACCATTATAGTTGAATTCCTTTATACTTTAGGAGAAGGTTGTTGGAACATGTATTTTGAATCCTTAATTATTAACATATAGTTTCTCTTTATCACCATTGATTAAAAAAAAAATATTCAGTACTCCAAAGGTGACTATTTTAGAAAAAATTTGACTTTTGGTGTATTCTTTTTTTTTTTTTTTTAAGATTTTATTGGGGATTTGGGGGAGGGGAACAGTGTTTGGGGAATCGGGAAAGGGGAACAGACAAGTTGCTGTCCTTTTGTTCTTCAGTCTAGGTGTGGAGGACGTCGCTTCACTGGCCCATGTTGGTATTATCATTGCACTCTTCCCGGGTGAGGCAGATCGCTTGCCGGTCACTGGACGGCTGCTCACGGTGGCTCTTGGCAGCTCATGCCGGCTGCCGCCCTCTCAGGGTAGCTTACAGTAGCCCACTGCAGCTCCACTGCAGCCTAAGCTGTTGCCGGAGGGCGACTCACGGCAGCCCAGCTTCAGGTCAAGCTGTTGTTCACCATCTTAGCTGTAGAGGGCGCAGTGTCACTGGTCCTAATGTGGGATCCGAACTGGAGCCCTGCTGCTCAGAGCAGGCGTCCCAAGCCAACTCTTAACCAACGCGCCACTCAGCCGGCCTGACTTCTGGTGTATTCTTTTTATGTAATAGTACAGTGAAATTTATAAAGATAGGGCTATGATGACATCACAATTTTATTTTTTCATTAGGCTCCTCATTAGCAGTGATAGGTGAATTACACTTGTCTGAGTTGTTGGTAGCTGGTTTATTAACAGTGGAGCCCACTTCTTATTATTGTGTGGAATTTAAAAAACAGTTTTAGCATGGATCTGCCCAGTAGAACTTTCTGTGATGATGGAATTCTTCTATATATACTCTGTCTGATACAGTAGCCATTAGTCACTTGTTGGTTGTCAAGCCCTTAAAATGTGATTGGTGGGACTGAGGAGCTAACTTTTTATTTAATTTTAATTAAATTTAAGTACCATAAGTGACTAGTGGCTACTGTATTAAAAAGCACAATTTGAATCAGCACGTAGTAGCCCTTTGTCTCTTTGGTGCCCTTTAGCGCCTGGCCAGTAATGGAGAGAATCATTCCTGCTCGTACTGTCTGTCATAAAATGTGTTTCTGTATAAATAGACTTCTATCATTTGAGTAAGGCTTATAAATTTCATGTGTTTAGAAAATGGAGTGACTTGGTAGTAAAATTATGTCACTTTATACTAAATTTACCAACATTTTTTCTGGGCACATAGGAAAATAAAACAAGAATTTTGTCTGCAACATTATCCTGAAACACTTTTTTTGCTTTGATTTGGTTTTGATTTTAAATGGAGTTCAGTCTTAGAGTTAACAAAGCAAGTTACCTGCATTCTTTCCTAAGTTTGCTGCCATATGGTATAGAGCTGGAGCTGGATGTGAGTTAAATATTATCCAGCCTAGCCCGATCTGCTCATTTTGTTAGTGGAAATATTGATATACAGAGTCTCACTGACTTGCACAGTTTATTTTCCACTGACTAGATCTTGAATAAGAACTTTTTTGATTTTCATGAGATGTGATTGTGTTTTATTTTGTTATGCTCGAAAGTAGAGAGTATATACTGTTAACTATAGCATAAAAATAAAATTATAGGAACGAATAGAGGAAAACAAATCTGAGATAGGAAATTAAAAATAAAGTTTTAGTGTTAGGTAAGCAAGTAGCTTTAGCTTATTCAGTTAATTATATAAGGGTAATTGATACACTTTTTCCCCTTATAGATTATGAAAAGAAAAAATCAGTACCAAGTTTTGTGGACCGCATCTTTGGTGGTGAACTAACTAGTACAATCATGTGTGACGAATGCAGAACTGTAAGTGGGCATAGTGCTGATTTTATTCAGTAAACAGAGTACAGTCTATCAGTTGTTTCTTTCAAAAACAGAAACCTCTAGTTTCATAAGATACTCTTTTTTGAACTACCCAAATATGCATAGTTTTTGATGGAACTATGAGCACTCCTTTAATCTGGAAGAACTTAGCTTAACATTTTGTTTCGTTTTCCCCAACCCAGAGTCCTCAGTGCTGTATAGTTTTCACTTCATTTTCATAAGCCTTTATTTTAAAACTTAGCTCCCTCTCCCCATTTCCCCATGATCTTACTACATAATGTTTACAGTAAATCTTTTTCCTTTCTTTTACATTTTCTTTTTTGGTTGGTTAAGGTCTCCTTGGTTCATGAATCTTTCCTTGATTTATCTCTACCAGTTTTAGATGATCAGGTAAGACAATTGAGTTTCTTTTATTTAAGTAGATTTTTTTTTATATATATTAGATTTTATGGGGGAAACCTTGTCACCTTTTCCAAGTTTGTACATTACTAACCCATAGAGAATTTACCTTAATATATTTGAGATAGAAGAATTTTAAAGATTTGAATAAAGAATGTGCTGAATATATATATTTTTAAGAGGATGGTGTGTCTAGAATTCTTTATAGAGAATTAACTTGATTAACTTACATATAGGAAAGTATTTTCTTCACATTAAAAGTTACTATTTATTTTCATTAAGAGTAACCACAAATTCCTTACAATCTGAAGTTCATAAATACTAATAGAGAGTATCTCAGTCTTATGCCATATTAATTTGATACCTATCCAGTAATAGTAGGAAACAAAGAGAACATGTTATGAATATTGGATAAATAATTATTAAACTTAATATGAATTAAGGGTCCCTTGAATTATTGTTACTTAGTGATTAAAGCCTTACCTAATTTATTTTTTCTTTCACTAAAACTATTATTCACATGCAAAGAAGGAAAAAAAAAAGAATATAAAGAAATACCTGTATTGGGATATGTAAATCACTTATAAACAGAAAGTGCATTTAGAAATGGGCATAATTACAGCATGATACTCCATGTAATAAAATCTGTTATATTTCTTTCTATTATACTTGCATGCGAAGTTACCTTTTTTTACTGTTGTGCTTGTTTACTTGATTTTTCAGTATGTGATGATTGCTTTTTAGTATTTGAGATGAATAGATTTTATCCTGGATATGTTTTCAAACATTGTGGAAAAATAAATCTAGTGTAAAATAGGAGTAGAAAAATAAGTAACATGAAATCTCTTCACTAAATAGTAGTAGTAAAATTTTATTTTTGGCTCATTTTCTCTTCATATTTTAAGAGTGGTAAGAAAAATATAAATGATAGAATTCTGAAAAAAACAATGGAGGATGAAGATAAAGACAGTGAGGAAGAAAAAGATAACGACAGCTACGTAAAAGAGAGAAATGACATTCCTTCAGGAACAAGTAAGCACTTACAGAAGAAAGCGAAAAAGCAAGCCAAAAAGCAGGCCAAGGTGGGTCATTTGGAACAAAACCATATTTTTCTAATTTTATACTTTGAACTAGTGAGTTTGAAGTTTGAATGACATTGCTAAACACGTCTCTTATTTTATATATAGCTTTTATTTGGCAATTACAGAATTAATTCATTTAGTGTTCTCTGTTGAGAAATTTCTTTGAGTATGTAAAGAAAAGGTTGTGTGTATGTGTTTTTTTTAATCCCGTATTACTTGTAACAAAATAAGTGTTTTCGTTCATTTTTAACAATTTTTGAGTTTTTTATTCATTGACATTAGAAATTTTAAAATATGTAAAGGTGTACAATAAAAGTCACCCTCCAGTCTGTCCTTTTATGACCCAGATAACCACTTTCATTAGTTTATGCTTCCTTCTGGGGTTTCTTTTGAGAAATTATGATCAAATTAGGTAGTCATGTTTTGCCCTCCTGATAAAAATCATACATATGGTTCTGGACCTTGTTTTTTGTTTGTTTCTACTTAATTAGATGATTGGAAATCTTTCCATTTCAGGACACAAAGATTTATTTATTTATTTTATTTATTTTTTTTTTTAAGATTTTTATTGGGAAATTGGGGGGATGAGAACAGTGCTGGGGAATTGGGGAAAGGGGAACAGACAAGTTGCTGTCGTTTTGTTCTTCAGTCTAGTTGTGGAGGACGTTGCTTCACTGGCCCAAGTTGGCACCATCATTGCGCTCTTCTCTGGCGAGGCAGATCAGTCGCCGGCTTCTGGACGGCCGCTCACTGCGGCTGCTGGCCGCTCACGCTGGCTGCTGGCCACACACGGTAGCCCATGGCAATCCACTGCCACAGGGACTGCAGCCCACGCCGTCGCTGGCGACTCATGGCAGCCCAGCTCCAGGTTGAGCTGTTGTTCAGCATCTTAGCTGTGGAGGGCAGTGTCACTGGCCCTCATATGTGGGATCCGAACCGGGGCCCTCTGGCATCCCAAGCGAGTTCTTAACCATCGCGCCACTCGGCCGGCCCACAAAGATTTATTTTTAACAGCTGTATAATATTTCATTGTATAGATGTACCACAGTTCATGTAACCATTTCTCTGTTGACTTAGGTTGTTTGTAGTCTTTTGCTATAATGGCCAGTGCTGCAGTGAATAACCCTATACAGTCAGGTGTCACTTAATGACAGGGATGCTTTCTGAGGAATTGGTCTTTAGGCTATATTTCATCATCGTAGAGTGCACTCCCACAAACCTGGATGGCATAGCCTATTATACACGTATTATATGGTACAGCCTATAGCTCCTAAGCTACAAGCCTGTACAGCCCGTTACTGTATTGAATAATGTAGGCAGTTGTTAAGACAATTGTATTTGTATATCTAAACATAGAAATGATACAGTAATACGGTATAAAAAATGGTTCACCTGTGCAGGGCACTTACCATGAATGGAGCTTGCGGGACTGGAAGTTCTGCTCTGGGTGAGTCAGTGAGTGAGTGCTGAGTGAATGTGAAGGCCTAGGACGTTACTGTCCACTACTGTAGACTTTATAAACACTGTGCACTTAGGCTGCACTAAATTTATTTTAAAAAAAGTCTTTCTGCTTTCTTTAGTAATAAATTAATCTTAGCATACTGTAATATTTTTACTTTTTAAACTTTTAAATGTTTTTTAAGCTTTTTGACTTTTGTAATAACACTTAGCTTAAAATACAAACACATTGTACAGCTGTATAAAAATATTTTCTTCCTTTATATCCTTAGTCTATAAATGTTTTTTTCTACTTTTAAAACTTTTTATTTTTTTACATTTTAAACTTTTTTGTTAAAAACTAAGACACTAGGCTTAGATCCCTAGGCTTACACGGGATCTGGGTCATCAGTATCACTGTCCTCCACCTCCATGCCGGGTCCCACGGGAAGGTCTTCCGGGGCAGTGACCCAGAGAGCTGTCCCCTCCTGTGATGACAGCATTCTGCTGGGACCTGCCTGAGGCCTTTCTTGAGGACGTGTTACTCTTTTCAGAAATATGTCCATGGTGGTTTGCTTGGTTGGTTTCTTTTTTCCATCATGGCTTTGCTTGTGAGCAGATAATGCACCATGAACATTCCTCTCTGTTAATGAAAACCTTTCGGTGTTGGGGTCCATGTTTTCTAACTTTCTAAGGAACTTGTTGAGGTCTGCAAAAGCTTCTGCTAAACCTTCACTGGTTTCTTGGGGGTTCTTTTTCTTCACCCACAGTTTACTTTTCTCCTGCCCCTTCTTCAGCTATGCGTTCCTCTTCCAGTTCCCTCAGTGTCTCATTGGCCGGTTCCAGGCACCAGCTCTAGGAGCTCAGCCATGTCATACTCACCCACACCCACATTAAGCTGGTCGCCCTCTCAGCCACAGCCTTGTGGATTTTTGCAGCATTTGCACTATGACGTTATGATGGCTATGGTGTCACTAGGTGATAGGAATTTATCAGCTCTGTTATAATTTGATGGGACCACTGTCATATGTGCACCCATTGTTGACCAAAATGTCGTTATGCAGCACGTGACTATACAAATGTCATCTGTAGGGTACATTGGGAGGAGAGGGATTGCATTTGTATTTGATAAATATTACCTAATTGCCCACCACAAAGGTTTTGCCGACTTATATTCCTACCAGCAACTTACAAGACTTGCTGTTGCTCCTTCTCTTGACAGCAGTGTTATTAAACTTCTGGATTTATGCCATTCTGATAGGTGGACAGTATGAACTTCGTGCAGGTTTATTTTAATATAAGTGAAGTTAAACATGTGTATGTTTAAGAGCCATTTATGTTTCTTTTACTTTGAAGTATTCACTTAAATTAATTTCCCATTTTTATTTCATGTTTTTTTAACTGAAGCACATCAGACAGTGTTTGTGTCCTGTGCCCTGTGTCCTGTGTGCTGCCCTTCAGCCTTCTGCTATGACAGATTTTCCTCATGGGGAATGGCCTTTTAGTTGTGACCAAAAATGCTAAGCCCTTGAGTCTTTGCCATTCCAGTAACAGGAATCTTGATGAACCCCCTCCCACCCACCCCCACCCCCACTGGGCATAGGCTTCAAATAGCAAGGAGGTGATTTTAGGGGGGAAAGTCCTTTACTGTCTGCTGTACGTATGGCTTCCTTGCTGTCTCCCTAATGTGCGGCCATTCGTTTCCCGGGATGTTTTCCTCTGTCCTTCTGCCCCGAGCAACCCTGTACTTGTTTATCCTCGAGTTTTCGGTTTGGTTTCCCTCCCTGTCGCATATATAGTCAGATTCACCACATGGTTTAATGGTTGGCTGGTTGGGTTTAACAGTTTTACTCCTCTGACTACTTCTCTTAGAACACAGACCATGTTTTGCACATTTTTATTTGTCCAGGTGTGACAATTTTTTGATGATGAGTGATGGTTTATACCTACTTTCAATTAAAGAACTTTTCTTCATAATTTATTTGATCCTTGAGAGTAAAGGAACTTTTAGAATTCTGGGAGTGAACTCTTCCTTGTTAACTGTTTATTTTTTATTGATAACCCGATGTGGTACATGTATGCTCTTTCTCTTCCTCTCTACTTTTTAAAAAAATGTTTTGTACTTTCTACACAGAACCAGCGAAGGCAACAAAAAATTCAAGGAAAAGTTCTTCATTTAAATGATATCTGTACCATTGACCATCCTGAAGATAATGAATGTGACGTTGAAATGTCACCTCAGGGAGAAGTGGATATTAAATCTGACCATATTTCACAAGAGGAAGGTACAAATACAGACTATTGTGTTAATCAGAAAGATTTGAATGGCCAAGAAAAAATGACAGAAAGTGTAATTGACAATCAAAAATCCACAGAGGGAGTAGATCTGAAACATGTCATCGTGGATAATGATGGGGAGATTTTGTCATCTTCTCCCAGTAAATGTGCTAGGAACCTAAATGGTGTGTTCCAGAACGAAGGGAGCAATGGAGAAGTGGACATTTCCAGTGGTTTGAAAAACCTTCACTTGGATGATGCTCTTCAACCAGAGGAAATAAATATAGAGATTCTGGATGACAGTCATACTGGGACCCAGGTGTATGAGGTTGTAAACGAAGATCCAGAAACTGCTTTCTGTACCCTTGCAAACAGGGAGGCTTTCAGTACTGATGAGTGTTCAATCCAGCACTGTTTGTATCAGTTCACCCGAAATGAGAAACTCCGAGATGCGAACAAACTGCTCTGTGAGGTGTGCACGCGGAGACAGTATAATGGACCAAAGGCAAACCTGAAAGGTACTGAGATTCTCTCCCAGAAAGCGCAGTTAGTGTTCAGGGGCACACTGCACTGCATAGGTGGGTGTTCCTGTCTCATTGGATCAGCATTGGATGGCTTCCTTAAGTTCCCTCTTCTCCGTAAATATTGTAACAGAAGGATGGGTAAGCAGAACTTTATTGAAGGGGCTAGTACTCTGCCGTGTCCTGAACAGCAGTTAAAGTGGGACAGTTTGCTCTCGGGAAGCCTGTCCCTGTGGATGAACCATCTCACTGGCGTGTCACCACAGCAGGACCCTAACAGTGGCTTTGTGTCCTGTTTCCGGTCAGCGTTTACGATGGCCCTCATTTCTCTGGCTTCCGGGAAGCCCCGTTTTAATTCATCAGGGCGCTAACGTGACATGCCCAGGGTGAGGTGCTGGCAGGCCAGGGCTTGTTACAGCCTCCCGCAAATGCAGAGCAGAAAGATAGTTTCCCTCCTCTCTTAATGTGTTTTCTCCAGCTTGGATAAGTGGCATGGAAAGAGATCATGGATGCCTAAGGATTCTTACTAGAATTGATGAACCATTTTTAAAGTCTAGCTTTTCATAAAAATTTTTACATGTCAGTACAAAAAGTAATTTCATAGCAACTCTCTTTAGAGCAGGTGTCAGCGAACTGCAGTCCGCAGGCCAAATTTAGCCTGTCGTCTGTATGGTCTCTGAGCTAAAACTTTTTTATAAGTGAATACTTGAAAATGATTTCATGGTAGAAAACACTAACTTTGAATCTCAATTAATTAAATGCTATTTCTCCAAAAACAATTCCATTCTTTTCTTAGGTAGATAGCAGTTGTACTCAAATATTACTATATTTTGAATTCCATCAGTAAAAATTTATGGCAGTATTCCTCTCATATATGAATACCTACAAAATATCCTTGATTTGGCCTCTGTCCACAACACCTAAAATATTGCTATTTATCTGTTCCTTTCCAGAAAGTTTACTGATTCTTGCTTTAGATGTTTGAAATGATTTTATAGCAAACTGAATGCTTGTGAGTTCTAAAATGATTTTCACATGGCTAAATTTTTTTCTCTCTTTAGGTGAAAAGAAACATATTTACACTAATGCCAAAAAGCAGATGCTCATTTCTCTTGCTCCTCCTGTTCTCACACTTCATTTAAAGAGATTTCAGCAGGTACCCCTTACTTGTTTTAAAATTTGTCTTGTGTGTGGTATCTTCTTGGACAAAAAGACATTGATACCCTGGATTTTTGTTTTGGAGACTCCATCTCTTCTGGAAGACTTTTGCTATGAGCAGTACAACTTCAGTTTCAAGTTCAGTTGCAGATTCCCAAAGTGCCTTCAGAACATTGTCCCTCCTGTGGTTGGCGTGGGCTTGAGTAATTGAGTGAGTCTCTGTGAACAGCTCACCGCACCTGGTTAGAGTGTAAGGCTGGGAAGGCGCGCGTCACAGAATAGTGTTCTGGGACTGCTCAGTGTTAAGCGCCCAAAACCTGGTCTAATCTGGCGTTGCTGGATGGCTTTAAGCAGAAGCATCAAGAATTTTCATACAGGAGCAGTTTTCTTAAGGTGTTGGGTCGGGTGTGTGTGTGTTTTTATGTGTTGCACTAAGCAAAAACAAACCAACTTGAAATCACTTAGTGATCAGGGAGAGAGTCACCTAAGAAGATTGAACTAGGGTTGGTATTTTGGGCATCGGAGTGGGACTGCGGTTTATTTAATGTATACAGCTTTTCCAGGAAAAGAACTTGATCTATTGCCCCTCTTTTTTAGGCTGGTTTTAACCTACGCAAAATTAACAAACACATAAAATTTCCGGAAATCTTAGATTTGGCTCCTTTTTGTACCCTTAAATGTAAGGTAAGTAAAAGCGGTCTTTTTGGGAAAATTCTTTAAACGGGGATCACAGCTTACCAAATACTACAGCAGCAACTTGCATAGGTATGAAGTTGGTAGGAATTACTGAGTAGAGTGGGTCTTTGATTTTTGTACCTTTCTGATTTCAAGATCTGAGATGAATCGTTTTGAACGTTAGGTTTATTATTTCAGTTCAACATTTGTTTGAGTCCCCATTATTGTGGCAGACATTGTCTTGGGAGCTGGATAATCTCAATGTAATATGGTTGTGTTAAGATGGGTCTCTTCCAGGGGTGGCGTGCAATTAAACCAGCATGTTGGTGGTTCCGGGGAGGCTCTGAAGCAGACTGTGCCTCAACTGGAGTTAGTGTGATGAATCAAGAGTAAACGCAGTTTCCTGGTAGAGGGAACAGCAGGAGCACAGGCAGCTGTGTGCTGGGTGGCATGGTGGGTGCCTGGGATTGGCAGGAGAAGCAGAGCTAGAGCTTACAGTACAGGGTCCAGGGAACCTGGGAGATGGAGCCCACGGGAGAGAAGGATGAGGTTTTGGAGGATTTATCATGGCGAGGAACGTGGGCTTTATTAGGTGTGCAGTGGGGAGCCACTGAGTTTAAAGTTGTGGTCTTGGCCGGATCTGTATGTTACACAGGTTACTTGCTGAAGCATGGAGGAGGCTGGATTTTTAGGAGGAAGCGACTAGAGGCAGGGAAACTAGTTAGGAGGCTGTTGGTTCAGTTCAGTCAGTAGATGATGAGGGCTTAAACCAGGGCAGGAGAAGGGGAGATGGAAGGAATATTTCAGAGGTAAAACTAACCAGACTTAGGATCAACTGGCTCTGGAGGATAAGGCAGGGCCTTTCAGTGGCTGCTGAGGACGACCCGGAAAGAGGAGGTGAGCATGATTCCAGGGCCTGGCTGAGCGACTAGGCGTATGGGCAAAGGGCAGCACCACGAATTGAGGCAGGAAATCAGGAAGAGGAGGTTGCAAGGTGGAGAAAGGATGAGCTGTTTTAGATACACTGACTTTCAGGTAGTTTTTTTTTTTAAGATTTTTATTGGGGAATTGAGGGATGGGAACAGCGCTGGGGAATCAGGGGAAGGGGAACAGACAAGTTGCTGTTGTTTTGTTCTTCAATCCAGTTGTGGAGGATGTTGCTTCACTGGCCCAAGTTGGCACCATCATTGTGCTCTTCCCGGGCGAGGCAGATCAGTCGCCAGCTTCTGGATGG